AAAAAAAAAGGCTGAAGGTACTGAAGTGAAGAGTTTTAAATACATTTGTACAAAATGCAGTCAGTTGAGCTAAAAGGGAATATTTCTCTCTAACTTGACCATTTGCTGGTTGTTTTAGTGTATCATTAAATTTGTATTTTACTTATTTATTTATTTATTTTTGTTCTGGCGTACTGTGATATTCTATTCTACCATCTCAGGTTCAAACATCAACCATCTTTTCATTTAATAAATGTGAGAAGCTGAAATTTGTCCTCTATTTGAGCCACACCTTGTCATTAAGGGGTGATGGAGAGACTTGAAGCCAGACCAGTTGAGAACCACTGAACTAAAGACTTCTCTCAGGCCCTGTTTCAGATCTTTGCTGGATTTAATTCCCTTATTTTTCTAAGACACAAGTTTTAGATTCTGTACATATGCTATGCGTCTAACATGTCATTTTTTGTCCACTTTTCATTTTTTTAATCCCAAACTTAACAATATGCTGTCTTGGGGCACAAGTACTTGAACAGAAATTATATAAAAGTCCTAAAATACATATTTGAAAGACTTTCAGAAAGTCTGAAAGTTTACTGATGAAGACCACTTTAAAAGATTACAATAAATTCTAGCTCCTGGGAAACTAAAACACAACACTGCGGGGTGTAAAACTTTTGCACAGTGCTGTACACATCAAGTTGTCTGAAAGGTGCAAGGAGTTGCTGATTTTACCATCAAATAAGGATATAACTGCACACCTCTCTTCTATCCAGGGGCGATTCTAGAATTTGACCTCTAGGGGTGCTCAGCCCCCGTTGTTGACAATTGCTCTTGACTTGAACAGGGTGGTGGCCATTGGTGTCAAAAGCATTTGTAATGTGAGGGAGACACACTGGTGAGGGGATCTGGGGGCCCTCCCCCAGAAATTTTGATTAAAGTAGATATCATTTCCTGCATTCTGGTGTATATTAACAGGTTAATCATCTATGTTTACCTACATAAGTAAAGACTTGATTCAATAATTGTTTTGAATAAACTGAAATTGAGCGGCTGTGGCTGAGTGGTTAGCGCAGTCGTTCTCCAATGCAAGAGTTGGAGGTTTGGTTCCACCAGCAGTCACATGCTGAAGTGTCCCTGGGCAAGACACTGAACCCCTCATTGCCTCTGATGTTTGTCCCATTGGTGTATGAATGTGATAAAGCTCTGATTATTCTTTGTATAGCTCTAGTAGAGTGCTGTATGAATGGGTAAATGAGGGCACAGATTGTAGTGTACAGCACTCTGAGTATCTTGATCAGAATGAAAGGCGCTAAATAAGTACAGTCTGTTTACCATTTTAGAGTTAATGGCACAACAAGAAGTAGCCTGACCAACAGCTCTCCTTGTGTGACTAGAGCACTCTCCACTTCTCTCAAGCATCCTAACTCGACAACTGCCGGCATTAATGTAGCACTAAGTTAGTGCTAGCTAAGATGCTACTTACATAGTGTTCCACTTTACATTACGCATCTTTCTGAAATCCTTCTGACTGCAAAGCATTCGTTATGCAAAGCCCTGACAATGTTGGAGGAGGAGGAAAAGGGATGGAGCTCCTGCAGGTAGGGGCGTTCACTTTGGGACAAATGGAGATTTCTGATTAGTCAGTTGCTGACAAGCCTACTGGACTGATTGACAGGTGGTGTCGAGGATACGACCCGTGCAAAAAAAAATAGATTTTACTGGCCTGTTTATGACTGTGATCATTCATGCCATTTTTATTCCAATTTTATTCAATATTTTGGTGAATCTAAGGTTTGAGAACTGAGTTTCATTACAAAATGGTAATGATGGTCTCTTTATTTTTCAGGGGTGCTGAGTTAAAATTTAGGGGTGCTTGAGCACCCCCCAAAAAGAGGCTAAAATCGCCCCTGCTTGTCAGAGTCAGAGTCAGAGTCAGAGTTTCTTTATTGTCATTCGCACCTCATGTGGTACATGTGGTGGAGCGAAATTATGTAACTGGGACC